ATTTATAAATTAAACTAATTAAACCTAAAATGAAATATTTAAATCTATACCTATAATTATCTCTTTCATTATTTGCCCACTTAATATGTGCATTCCAATTATTAACTTTTTGTTCTTTTTCAGCTAAAGACCAAAAATTTGCATTAAATCTCATTTCTTTACATAAGGTACAAAGATCAGTTCATGGTGAGAGGAATTGAATTTCAGGAAGATAACTCTTCCAAATTCTTACAAAGCTTGAATAACTAATATGATGTTCTGATCCAGTTCCAATATCATTTAAAAATTTTTCATGTATTTCTGTGTAGTTATCCCTTGTAGGCAAATAAATAATTGCTTTTGTAGCTCTTTCAAAATGGCGACCTAGAATAAAAAAGAAATAAGATATTGATCAATGTTAAATAACACATATTTTAATTTTACCTGGTGATGGTAAACCATTCAAATTTGCATAACTTTTTAAAAAAGTAAGCACTTTTAATACTGTTTCAAAAGAGAGCTTATGAGAAACATTCCTTCCTTTATTCAAATGTACCTTTGGTACAATATCATTATTTTTATAGTGATTCTTTAAAGCAGTTAATCTATCATATGATAAATTATATAATTTTAAAAAAGCATTATTGCATATTGCTATACCATCAAACACAAAAGCCATTGTCATATAATCACTAGTTGAGGTTATTGAATTTCTGGTTGATGTTGAAATAATTCCCAAAAGAAACATATTCTGTTGATCTTTAAATTAATATAATTTTGACAACGTAAAATAGCAACTTCTTGATTAAATTTTTCTAAACATTTTTTATTACAACATTTTTTTTTAAGTATGTTTATAATATAATTTTTTGCTTCTTCATTTTTTCTATTTAATTTTTCTTTCTCAGCTTCCAATTCACTAATTTCTGACTCTTCAATTGGTTCATTATTGTAAATTTTTTCAAATTTTTTAATTTCTATTTCTGAAAAAACTTCATTATTTATTTCATCATCAAAGTCATCATCAAAATCTTCTATCACATTGGTCTCAATAATATTTTCTGTTTCAATATCTTCAGATGAAGTTTCCATAAAATCATTTTGGAATTCTTGTAAATTTTCATGTAAATCTATTAATTCTGGATGGGTCTCATCAAAAATGTTATTCAGATATAAAGGATTATTGTTAGTACACATATTGATAATTTATTAAAAATTTTAAAATTTATTGTGAATGATAATCAAATTTAGATATTTATTTGAAGATCATTCCGATTTTTTGGGTCTTTACAGAAATGGCTTTTTTTAAAGAAATGGAAGTATCACAAAATTTCATTAAGCAAATATGGGTATATTTCTAAGCTGAATAGATTCCTCGACTCAAATTACATGTAACTGCATTATTTTCTCAAAAATGACAAAAAAAAAAATTCACTGATTTTCTCAGATGATGTCCCATATATGGAAGTATGAATAGGGATGGGGACGGTTTATGTCACGTCCGGCGACGAATAATATTTTTATAATTGATCCGTGACGATTAATTTGTCTTGTTTTGGCAATATAAATGTCACCTGTAATTTAGTATATTAATCGTCACGGATCAATTATAAAAATATTATTCGTCGCTGGACGTGACATAAACCGTCCCCATCCCTAAGTATGAATATAAAAATCTTCAGTGTAGCATAGTTAAAAATCTTGTGATTGGTTGATCAAAATTTTGTTATTTATATTTATTAATTATCTTTTCGAACCAAATTAAATTAGAGTTGAACTATATTATGAATTGGAAGTCTGTGAATGTTTGTGAGGTCACGAAATACTTGCTTATTCTTTCTGCAAAGGCTTTTAGTAGGTGTATAAATAATAAATTGGATCATTTTTATTAGGTAAAATTATAAATTTTAGAAATATATACCTAATATCCTTTTTTGCAATTGATTATCAATTCCAGGTAGAGATATAATATGTTTATATTTATATTCTGAATTACTGGGCTATTACATGTTGCTTTTATTGAATTAGTAGTAAGTCTTTTATATTCAATTTTAGGATCATTTTGACTACATACTACACAAGGGCCAGTATTTTTTTTACCTATAACTTTGGTCATTTTAATAATAAAGAATAAGAAAATTCAGTTAAAAGATTATTTTATTTATTTTTTTTGAAAAAAAATATTGTAAAATAAAATTTTTATCATTTGCATTGTTTTGAGCAAAAATTAAAGCAATCTTTTCAACTATTAAAAGTCCAAACTAAATTCCGCTCAGGAAAAACTACTTTCTGCTCAGAAAAGAACTATATTATTAGTATCATCATACAAAATTTGAGGTGATGTAAATAAGTGGTGGTATGCAATTTTTCTAAGTGGGTACTTTTTCAATTTTTACAATACTCTTCACATATAAATTGTTGATCATCTCTGTTGTTTTGAATAAGCTTGATCAACAAATAAATATTCAAAAATAGAATTTTAATTATGCTTGATAGTGTGCACTTAGAGAAACAAAGCATTTCATTGGTTGCACATGACACTAATAAAAAATACTACTGTCATTATTATTATTATTACCTAGGGGTAAGTAAATATTTGGGGGTCAAATGAATGTTACACATATATATTTAACTGACACCCCTATGAAATTACTAGTGTTTATTAGTAAAAATAAATAAAGCATGAAACATGTACATATTGTACACCAAAAATTCACAAATTAATCTTAGCTAAAATTTTCATACTTGTAAGAAAAAATTTTCAGCTTTCTTTTGATATAATTTTTTCAAAGTATCTTTCCTAAAGCTTCAAAAAAAATACCATCAGTTGTAAAAATATTTTTTCTTTGTGTTTTCAACATTACACATATTATTTACAAGCTTTTATATATGTATACAACTTTAAAACAATATAAACTTTGTTTTTAATCTCAGGAATTTGGTTTTCTTAATAAAAATAATGAATAAATAAAAAATATTATTTTTGAATCACAACATTATTGGAGAAAGAAATAAAATAATTTATCCTTTTAAAACTTTCATTGAAAATGATATGTTTAATGGTTTAGGATGGTCAAACATCTATGTAGATGTGAATTCTTTATTATGAAGCAGAATGCATAATTATAAATGCTACATATATGTTTTTTTCAGTAACATTTCTTTACATAAATTCCACCAACATTCACATCATTTTGAATGGTTTCAAAAGATTTTTGTTATAAGGTTGTATTTAAAATACTGTGAGATCAAAATTCGCATCTCACACAAATCTATTGGTTTGGTTAAAATTCTATTCATTTTGTTTTATGGTAGTATCCACTTATGTACTTTCTCTCACCAATAGCACTCATGCTATTTATCTGTTTACAGGGCAAGTTTCCTTACTTCCCTTCCAGTAACATTTTCTCAGCAGTCCCTTGTTATCTGCCTGAGCTGGCACGTCTCAATGATATTTATAATATCTCAAGTATCTGCCATGATACTTTATACACTTATTGTTATATTTATGGCTCAGTTTCTTAACTGACCACACCTAGCTAGGATTTCCACTATTTAGGCATTGGCCTAATCTAAATAAAAATAAAGAAAATAATTAAGGGTAGGGGGAATCATGTGGTATATTTAATAGTAAACAATGGCTCAAAAAAAATAATGACAAGAATTAGATGAAAAAACTGCTGAATGAGAAAGAAATAAAATGAAAATCTTTAGAGAAACTTTACAAAAGGCCAAAAATAAAGAAAGTTTTGATTGGCCTTGGAGAAAAAGAATTATCAACAAAAAAGGAAATGGGGGTGAGATAGAATAACTATTTGGTGTCCTCAATGCAAAATTATGTTAGACTGAGATGTTACTGCTTATGAAGATAGTCAAGGACATAAATGTTCCCAATGTCGTAATTGTCAACAACAAATTACAAGAGATAAACAAAATGAACACTTTACTTGAAAAGATGATAATACTCCCAGTTAAATCTGTCAAAAAGTGCAGAAGGGAGTGAAATAGTTTGCCATATGTGTGACAAAATGGAACTAAATAAAAAAGGAATGCTTAAAAGTCAACTTTCTGATTTAGGAGGTAGTATTACTGCTGAGGTAGTTTTAAGAGCAAACTCTAAAGTTCATGTAGCATTATGTACCAAACGCCATGCTGACACTTTTGAAGAAATAACTAGGCAAGAATGATCAGATATTTCGCCTGTGTTTAGGGATGTTGTAAATAAACTTGACAAGGCATATATATAAACCAGCAGGCTACAGAGTCAGTATACCAATATCAACAATCGGCACCCAAAACCCACCCCATTTTTATATGTGAGTGGTTCCTAAATACAAAGAAGGTTATGGAAGTGTAGGAATCAAAAGCATATTGGGAAAAAGTTTTCCCCCAGAAGTAGCTGAGGATGCAAAAAAACTTTTCCAATTAACAAATAACAATACTGTCATTGCAGAAAAAAGTAAAATTGTTGCCAGATTACACATCGAAATAGGAAATATAACCATTTCTACTAAAAATCATTTACCTAACAATATCAATGCTGTCGACCAAGAAACCTGAGACCAAATTGGAGAAGTCTGCCAAGAACTTATACAAAAAATGAAATCCACATCATTTGCTGGTGGTTTTACCATCAAATGTGAACTTAAGGAAAATACCACACAGTTATGAGGAAAAGAAGCAGAAATTCCTTCAAGTTATAGTGAAACTTATCCTGCTTCAGAATTTTAATATTATTTTTTCCTAGATTCACATTGCAAAAATGATGAAGGCAATTCAGACCCAAAAAAAAAATTCTATTTTTAGGCACTATGGAAGATGAGAGAGTTGCAGAAAAAATAAGAGATCCAGAGGCTTATTATCGAAAATGGAATAAAACCTCCAGAGCTCAATTAGAAAACCAACTTAACAAGAGCAAACAAGAAAAAACATACTTGCTTTTTTTCTAGTTATTTCAGTTATTAAGGTAATTAAGGTTAGGAAGAATAAAAGTTAATTATGACATCTAACACTTTTTTTTAGTATAAAATTTATTCAATTACATTTTATACTGGCTTGGGGCAAGTGATATCTTTGTATTCATCTTTCACAAATGGGCAAATATTGTTATAAAGGTATTCTTGTCTTTTATAGTCCAAAGGAGGAGGTGTTAATACTAAAATAGATAAAGCTTTAATTTCTTCAAAAAAAAATATCTGCCTTCTTGGTTTTCAATAAATTGAATTCAGAAAAAGGACCATTAGCAACTTCTTGAACTTTCACTGTGCCAAGATTAGATACTTCAAAAAGGAAATGTTGATATTTCTGTATACTTGTAATTTCTTAAAATAAATTCCCAAAATAACTTTAATATCTAAGTATTGAAAACCTCTTCCACCTTGATAACATTGAGCTTTATTTAATCCTGCTGGACTAGACTTTTCTATTACTTCAACCACATGATCCAGACAATCTACTCTTGATTTTCTATAGAGTTTTTATTAAACCAAAGCTACCATCACATTTGAATTTGGTATGTCCTGGAATCATGAAATTCAATCCAATACTTTTATAATGACCACAAATTACTAGATACAAATAAAATCAAATAGTCACATTATTTTTATTTTGCCCACCAGCATTATCACAAGTGATCTTTTCACCTTTATTCAATTTCTTAATTCCATCAAAAATCATGCTAAGAGCACTGGGTCCTTTTCCTACAATTTCATCTTCATTAAGAACATAATTAACCAGATTGAATTATGGAAATCAATTGGATTATTCAATATGTTCTCTGGTAGTCAGCTCTTTTTATTAGAAAATGTAAAATCAAAAGAAGTTATCAATGATTTAATGAATTTCAAAATTGGTTTACACCAATGGTGTTCAAATACTTTTGAGAAACTTCAACAAACATATACAATACACACCAACAGTAAAGAACTTACAATGTCGGTTTTAAATTATTTGCATGATAAAAAGTCAAGTTTGTTTGAACTTTACAATTTACTATATAAATTTAAAATTATTGAAAAGAATGTTATAAATTTGAATGAAAATAATTTTATAAAAACAAGAGCTTGGAGGTGAATATTAAATGCATCAGGATGTAAAAAATAATGATTGACAACAATAAGGGGTATTGGTCCAAAGCCAATGACACCACAGCTGACTTAGAAATATTACAGCTTTTTTCTGAAATCAATTCAGAATCAGAAAAGTTAGTAGAACTAAAATCGGAATTAAATAAGAATCAGGAACTAGATTCACAAGTAAAAACCTTTTGGTCATGTTTTGATGATTCAATTAATAATAATATTAGAGGAATGAAGGTCAGCGAAAGATCTTATCAATAATTGCAGAAGATTTTACATATGCAAAATTAAAATAACAGCTCAATGTTAGCAATAATTTAATAAGTTCATTTTCCAAAACGTTTCGGGAAGCCAAAAGAGTTTCTGGTCACAACATTGTTGTCTTGTAAAAGATAAATTGTTTTTCCAAAAAAAAAAATTCAATTGCATCATCTTTGTACAACCAATGTGCGCATAAATAAAATTTTTCTTGTGTATGTTGATCAATTAATTTTCTTTTTTCTTTTTTAGAATGTCACCATGTCAGGAAAGAAAACAAAAAGAAACAAATAGAGACATAAGAAATGAGTGAGTGTTTATCATTAAATGGTGGTGGTTATCACCACTTGTCATCACTCTAGTTATTTTATTTAAATGTATCTTACATATATATAATCTTTCCAAATTGTACAGATCTGGGAAAGAGGACATCAATGTGTAGATGAAGTGATTGGTTCGGTAAGTAAACAAGTAAATCACATTTTTTTGAATATGTTGGTCTTTTTGTTATGGAATAAAGAATTCAGCACAAGGAAATTATATTCTCTTCAAATGACAAATTGATTATTCCATTCTAACAAACTTGGATTTTAATAAACTTTCTTTGTATAGAGTTTGGCTCCAAGAGAACTATTCAATGTTGATGCTTTAGCGGAGTGTATCAGAAAAGTTGTACCAAAACTCCAAGACCATTAATGTCAATTGAGGTCTTGAGAGTTTTAAATCAATTGTATCCAAATATCAAAGAGTTTGTTCCTGAAGTCACACCTAAATCAAAGAGTTTGTTCCTGAAGTCACACCTAAATCAAAGATTTTGTTCCTGAAGACACACCAGTCCTTGAAACAGTACCTGAAGTTGAAGAACTTGTTATGCCTGAACAAGTAACTTTTAATAGACTTATCTTTGTTAGTTGGTTCATTTTACATCTTGAAACTAACACATTCCAATTTTTAAAAGTTCCAAAATCAATCAAATTTACATCAAAGTATGTAATTAATAATAGACTAAAACTTTTGTTTTTTTTAAAAATATTTTCTATGATCAATAATAAAATAACACATGGTCTTTTATTGCAATAAAGGAGAAAATATACTTGGAAAAGGGAGAGTCGAACATCGTAGAGCCCTTCATGGTAATATCCAAGGAATAAGAAAACCTTCCTTAAGAAAGCTTGCTCATAGGGGAGGAGTCGAGTGTATATCTAATGTTTGTTATGAATAAGGTTTCTGGTCGAAACTGCTTCTATTAGTAGCCGAAATTGTCCAAATACTTTGGGCAAAAATTATTTTTTTATAAGCCCAAACTACTTTTTGTTATTAGCCAAAATTGGGCAAAATTATTTCAAAGTTGTTCAAGTTAAAACAAGTTGATTCATATAGTTTTTTAATGCTCATGCTTATAGAAAATGTTGAGAAGCCCAAATTTCCCAAACTAGTTTGGGCTTTGAGAAAACAGTTTGGACCAGAAACCTTAGTTATGAAGATGTTCGTGGTATATTAAAGGAATTTCTTGAAGATATAGTTGGAGTATGTAATAATAGCAAATTATAACAACAAATTATAATTTATGGATATTAATAATAACAATTTTTACATATTATGACTTTTTTTCTTTAGTCTGCAGTCACTTATATGGAACAAGCAAGACATAAAACAGTCACATGCATGGATGTTAGTAAATTGGTTCACTTCACTATAATATATATTGTAAATGTATCACTACCTTTTAACCATATTAATCTATTTATTGAAACATATTTTCTTAATAGCATATGCACTAAAAAGAAAAGGCAAACTTCATTATGGATTTGGTGTATAAATTTTTTTAAAAAAAATATATTTTTAAATTTGGGAGCTTAAAAAATTTCTTGTGTATCTACACTTTGAAGTTTTTATTTTTAGCAAAAATTTACAGTAATAATTTAATTTTTCTTAATTGTTTACCATAATGTTATTATATTGATAAGCAGGTTTCTTGACTTTCACAAATTTCTTTTAAATAAACAAAATATATTAATATCTTTCTACACAATAATTGAAGTACTGTTTGAAAACACATGTATAATTTAGTCCTTGTGAAAGTAATTCTTACATTAAGTATCATTTATTTTGAAAATATAAGGAGCAATTTTTTCACCTTGTTCTTTCTTCAAAACACTTCTGATAGTACTATAATTCTTGGGTTCCATAGTATATCTGATGTAAATGAGTTTCATATTAACTATTTTATATAGGGATAATTCTATATATCACAAATGGATATTATAAAACTGATAATTATAATCACATTACAAATGACTAAATTTTGATCCCTGAAATTTTTGGTAATACCTAGGGGTAAGTAAATATATGGGGGGACAACTGAATGTTACACATGTATATTTGTCAATTTCAAAACTGTCGCCCCTATGAAATTACTAGTGTTTATTAGTAAAATAAATAAAGCGTGAAACATGTACATATTGTACACCAAAAATTCACAAATTATTCTGAGTTAAAATTTTCATACTTGTAAGAAAAAATCTTCAGCTTTCTTTTGATATAATTTTTTTCAAAGTATCTTTCCTAAAGCTTCAAAAAAATACCATCAGTTGTAAAAAATATTTTTCCTTTGTATTTTCAACATTACACATACTATTTACAAGCCTTTATATATGTATACAACTTTAAAACAATATAAACTTTGTTTTTAATCTCGGGAATTTGGTTTTCTTTATTAATATTAATAAAAAATATCACAACATTGTTGAGAAAGAAATAAAATAATTTATCTTTTTAAAACTTTTATTGAAAATGATATGTTTAATTAATGGTAAAATGTAGATGTGAATTCTTTATTATGAAGCAGAATGCATAATTATAAATGCTACACATATGTTTTTTTCAGTAACATTCCTTTACATAAAATACATAATAATAATAATATCCTTTCCTACATGTAAATTTAATGACCAATCTTTAATAGTATTAAATATGCACATGAAGTATACCTATTATTTTATATATACGTGGGGTGTCTGAAAAGTTTTGAGAATCGATTTTCATTTAACTAAATTACATTTTTGATTTTTTTAAAAAACTATTGCATTCCTTCAAAGTACTCTCCATTAACGTCTATGCAAAGTTTCAGCTGCCTTTGCCATTCCTGGAAAGAGTTTTGATATTCATCACTTGTGACATTATCAGTAATTGCCTGAACAGCATGTGCAAGATTTTCTATACTATCAAAACTTTTTCCACCCAGTTCTTTTTTGATTTTAGGGAACAGAAAGAAGTCACAGGGTGCTAAATCTGGACTATAGGGAGGGTGGGGTAGTATTCTAACCTTATTTTTGCTTAAATATTCATCAACAACTTTAGATTTATGTGGCGCAGCATTATCATGGTGAAGCAACAAGTGTTTCACTGTTCTTCTATTTGTAATTTGCTTGAAATTTTCAAATACTTTTGGGAGAACATGATTGGCATAATACTTTCCTGTTATGTTTTGACCCTTTGGAACAACAATTCTTGCTATAATTCCATCAATTGAGAAAAAAACACAAAACATTCGTTTCTTACTGTTTCATGCTGTTCATGTTATTTGCAGCCTGTCTTCTCCAATTTTTACCCATGATTTATTAGATTCTTTGCTAGATACAGTGAAATAATTTATCCAAGTTTCATCACCAGTAACTATATTTTGAAAACCACACTCAAAAATTTCAAGAAGTTGCTTAGAAATTTCAACTCTATTTTTTTTGTTTTCTTCTGTTAAAACATGTGGAACCCATTTTGCACAAACTTTATGAAGGCCAAGTTCATCATGTAAAATATGTCCAATCCTTTCTTTTGAGACTCCAACTTCCTATTCTATTCTTCTAATAGGCATATGTGGGTCTTCATTAATAAGCTCTTCAATTTTAGCAATTGTTCCTTGTGTGACAGCTTCATGGGGATGACCAGATTGAGAAGCATCTTCAATACTATTTTCACCTTCTTCAAAAGCTTCAATCCATCGATAAATTGTGCTTAATGATAGTGATTTGGACCCTTCAGCAACCTCTAACTCTTTATGAATTTGGGATGGTTGTTTTCCATTTTTCCAGCTTACAAAAATGTAGTATCGTTGGTGTTCACGTGTTGAATTTTCCATTTGTTTTTATTGACAATGTTTGAAATTTGATATTTCTGGAACTATTGAACCAAAATAAATAATTTTTTTTTATTTGAAAGATGAAAACCGTGGCTTTTATTTAAAAATAATTTTAGCTTCATTGACTTGAAGAACGTAACGTTACACGGCTTTTGTCAAAACTTTTCAGACACCCCACGTAATTATAGAACTACCTATCTATGAAAAATAGATATAAATATATTATACAAATTTATTAATTTAACAATAATTATAGAACAACCACCCTGTTTCTATTATCCATACCTAATAGCAAGAAAAAATAAATATATTATACAAAACTATTAATTTAACAATAATTATAGAACGACTATCTTGTTTCTATATCCATATCTAATAACAGAAATAAAAAAAAAATATTATACAAAACTATTAATTTAACAATAATTATAGAACAACTACCTTCTACTATTCATCATTTATTCATCTAATAATAATAAATAGATATACCAAGTAAATATATTATACCAAGCTATAAATTTAACAATAATTATAGAATGAATACCTTGTTGTATCCTCCTTCAGCTTTTTCTTTAGTAGTTTATTGTTTTAAAAGTTTTAGTTTCTTTACAAAGTGCACAGTTGGCATTTTTCACTATTATACCTTGAAAATATAACAAGTTCGTTCACCCAACTCCCAGTTCTGCTTTATTTTTAATCGTTTTTCTATACTTCGGAGCCTACTCTAATTTCTACAACTGCCACATAATACTATATTGGGAATGCTAGTACTAAGTAAAGTATGTCAAAATTGCGGATGCAGACGGATGCAGCTGGAATTAAGTTAAAAAAGCGTTACATATTGGCATGTCCCACTTTAATTGAAAGTTTTTTACTTTAAAATTACGTTACACGCATAAAAAATTAATGTATGACATTTCGAATAATAATAATAATAATAATAATAATCGTATGACACTAAAAATTTTACACCAGTTGAGGACCAAAAAACAAATCAAAAAGTTACGTTATTATAGGTCCTGAATTAAGATGATTAGAACCTCATTCATGATTATTTGATTATATGCCATATACTCATCAGTAAAAAAGACATTTTGGTCCAATTATACGTGATATTGTTATTATTATATTAATATTAATATAATTTTCGTAACACCACCATAAAACAAAATTTTTCATAGTGACACGACTCTAATATATTAAATTATATTAATAATGATTCAGAAAGATTGTTAAATAATATTGGGAGACTTAATACGACTTCTGGGACATAACATCGTGTCTTCAAATACTAAGCATTCTTATTGATTGATTATAATTTCTATCCTTTATTTTAGCAATCCTCAAATTCGTATAATTGATTATATTGGTTGGAAGTCGGTATAGAGAGAATGAACAACACATATTAACTAAGATATATAACGGGATATCATAATTTGTGTTTAGATTTGGCAAAAGAATAAAGTAAAACTTAATAATGATAGAATAGAACTAATTTATTAATATTCAAAATTAAATTAATGAAGGAGCCCAAAATCTAATTTATATAATATTTATTTATTGAAAAAACATTTGGGACGAGAAATAAAAAAAAGGAAATGATATTAATATTATATTGATTATTACTATATTACTTATATTATTATTATATTATATAATTATTTTTTATTTTTTAATTTATTGTTGATTTTCAATGCGTTTAAGATTTTCGTATAATACATTGTTGGTTGATAAAGGTGTCAATTCACTTTTTCCACTTAAAATTTCTTCGGCACTAATGTCTTTACCGTAGAATTGTTTATTAGCATCTTTACGCTCCATGATTATCGTGCCTTCAACAGATACACCTATATAATATCATATAATATTGTTTAGAAGAGTGGAAATAATCACAAAATTGTTTTTACTTAATTATATTTACCAGCAAAAAAACCTTTGGAGTTGCTATATGAATATAATGCGGACGGTTCATAAATACTACTTGAAACTTCTGTGCCCATGCCAATAGGCCCAGCAGTTACTATAAAAAAAACAATATTTATATTTTATATTAATATTAAATAATAATAGATATATACTAATAATCGTATGTTATATATATTTACCAGATAAATTTCCTCCTAATGTAACATTTTCACCACGACAAAAAGCTTTAACGGCTTCATCAGTATTGAGAACAATTACAAAATTAGTAAAATCGGCACCAACTTGTGCACCGAATCCAACGCCTGCAACATTTATACAAGATGGTGGAGACCAGGTTCCTTTTTCAGTCCTATAATTGATTTTTTAATCTTTTAATTTTTTGTTATGGAAGAAGCAAAATATGATTTTATCTATATACTCTCTTATTTCTTACCTTGCAATTACTATACCAGATCCGGCACGGCCGGACCAAAAAAGTCCAGCTTTCAACACAGTGAAAATAGCTAAACCTTTTGCTTTAACAATAACATCTTTTGGAATTACATTTTCTAAACCACCTTCAGATTTATCTGGATCTTACAAGAAAGTTGTTAGTTTATACAATTACCAATAATGATGAATGATATTATACGACATGATTGATATATTTACCAGTAAAGGAAGACAAAATATTAGCAGCTTTATTGACCTCACTTACGAAATCAGAAGGTAACGGAGAACTGATGTTATTTTTTGCAGCTACTTTTTGGATTTCTTCA